AGTACAGTAGAGTAGTAGGGCCCCCTTTTGACTGTTTCTCAAGTTTTTGCCAAGCTAGGCTCCATATAATTCTGTTTGGAGCAGCTTTCTTGCACATTGTGCTTTGTGACTTCGCATCTTCTTGATGCTTTCTAATATCATTAATTACTTTACCAAAAAAAAGGATGTCAAAAGCAAGTTTTTATTCAAATATCATGAACAGTGAGAAAAACACGTATAGTTTGTAGATGTATTTGTTTTCTGCGCAATTTAAGTACAAATATTAATGGCTGCCATATATCAAAATCTAGCACTCAAATAAATAAAGGGAGTAGGGTGGTGCACCCCCTTTCTGTAAATTTGACAAGCAGAACAAAAAGGGCTTCTTTGCACCTCTGATGTTGAATTATTTTGTTGATTCATGAATCAGATTTCCCAGATATTCTTTTAAAATCCTATCTGCAGTTCTGTATGCGTTATTATGAGATGTTATTTTCCTGTTTCAAGCTTCTAACACCTCCAGGCACTCCTCTTTTTCCTTCTCTAGAGATGGAATCACGCAAAACTATGATGAGTCAGCTGGGAACTTCTAGAGCTCACCCCACTGCATTGACATCTAGAGTAAGAATATGTATATTCTACTGTTACATTCTTTCTTTGCTGAAATGCATTATGTGTAATTGGAAATTAGCATATTTTCACTTCTGTAATGTTTAACACGGGAAATGTTGACCATCTGTATAATCTGAAAGTATTTCATCCCATATCCAGCCACCAGAGGGATGTGGAGATTTCAAGGAAACCTAAAAGAATATTTCTTTAATTAAACAGGAAGACCCTGACAGATTCTTTAGTTCAGACTGCGTGCACAATGGTGGCTCCATTGTTTAGTCAAATGCTATTCGCAGAAGCCCTCTACTGAATTTGAGGATTATTTTAGTTTTTGAATGTAGAGGTATGATGTACAACTGCTCCCATGCTTAGTTCAGGTGACAAAGGCCGAGGAACTTGTGACCTAGGTCTAGGTTCGACCTCTATACCATGTGAACTAAGCCTAACATTTAATTGGAGAGTAGTAGAGGGCTGAGCCCATTAGTCCCGAACTTCGAATGCTGCAGTTGGTCCTAATGGTTGACTGTAGATGCATACAGTTATCAGAAAGAAAAAGTGTGCCATACATTTCTTTTGTGATGCTTCTTGTGGGATATTATGAGTTCCCAATCTCCTAGATATCAACCATTTGGAAAACTTAAACTCCTACGAATATTTTTGGGCTATGATTTCTTTATCATAGTAAGGATGCATTAGCTAGCACATGCTCTTATGATGGGGTGTCTGTGATCAGTTTGAGTTGGTTTTTTCTTAAAGATTCTCCCGAGTAATTATAATAATCAGATTTATTGATATTCCTAGTATTACTAAATGTTATAACACATTTAATCATTATCCAATTTGATGGAATTGTTTAATCTTGAAGAGAATCTTCTATAATTATGCATATTAGGTGTTTTTCTTGGTTTTATGCAGTCATTTATAACTTGATTGTTCTTGGACAATAATAGAAGGAAACAATGAGGAAAAACATTAATAGACAAAGTTCACAATTTAAAAGTTCATACGACGAAAAACACCAACTTGTAGCTTGCTTTTATTTGAAACCCATAATTTACATTGAACTAACTAAAAGAAAGATTAAGAAAGGTAAGTCCCATGGAGCGGTTGTTAAACCAACTATGTTGTATTGGTCGGAGTGTTGGTTAGTCAAGAACTCGCATCCTCAGAAGTTGAAGGTAACATAAATGAGGATGCTTAAATGGATGTGTGGGCACATTAGAAGAGACAAGATTAGAAACGAAGATATATGAGGCCTGGTGGGAGTAGGCTTCAATGGTGGACAAGATGCGGGAAACAAGGCCAAGATTGTTCGAGCATTCGAAGAGGAGGAACACAAATGCCCTAGTGACGAGGTGCGAGAGGTTGACAATGATAGGTTTGAGGAAGGTAGAGGTAGATCGAGGAAGAATTGGGGAGATGTGATTACTGTGAGAAATATATACGAAAAATATTATTGAATTGTGTATCTAAATAGTTACATTGAGACCCTATTTATAGACACTACATTGGAATCCTTTTCCAATTAGGATTCCTATTCTTATTTCTATTCCTATTCCTATTCTAAGTAGGAAATACTTATTTCTATTCTAACACTCCCCCTCAAGCTGGTGCATACAAATCATATGTACCTAGCTTGTTACAGATGTAATTAATACGAGGACATGTGAGGGACTTGGTGAAGATATCTTCAAGCTGATCATTTAACTTCACAAATTTCGTAACAATATCTCCCGAGAGTATCTTTTCTCTGACAAAGTGACAGTCAATCTCAATGTGCTTAGTCCTTCATGAAACACTGGATTTGATGCGATATGAAGAGCCGCTTGATTATCACACACAAGTTCCATCTGATCAACTTTGCCAAATTTTAGTTCTCCCAGCAACTGTTTGATCCAAACTAGCTCACAAGTTGCTGTCGCCATTGCTCGATATTCTGATTCTGTACTAGATCGAGCAACCACATTCTGTTTCTTACTCTTCCACGACACCAAATTATCTTCTACTAAAACACAATATCCGGATGTCGAACGTCTGTCAGAGGGTGATCCTGCCCAATCAGCGTCTGTATATCCAATGATATGCTCATGGCCTTGATCCTCAAAGAGTAGTCCTTTACAGGGAGCTGACTTTATATATCGCAGAATACGAACAACTGCTTCCCAATGACTATCACAAGGGGAAGTCATAAACTGACTTACAACACTCACTGGAAAAGAGATGTCAGGTCTAGTCACTGTGAGATAATTCAACTTTCCAACAAGCCGTCTATACCTTTCAGGATTACTAAGTGGCTCCCCCTGTCCAGGAAGGAGTTTAACATTCGGATCCATAGGAGTGTCAATAGGTCTACATCCCATCATTCCTGTCTCCTCAAGAATGTCTAAGGCATACTTGCGTTGAGAAATAACAATACCTCATCTAGATTGAGCAACCTCAATACCTAGAAAATACTTCAATTTGCCAAGGTCTTTAGTTTGGAAGTGCTTAAAGAGATGTTGCTTCAAATCGGTGATACCATCTTGATCATTACCGGTGATAACAATATCATCAACGTAAACAACCAAATAGATACATCGACTTGGTGCAGAATGCCGATAAAACACAGAGTGATCAGCTCCACGAGTCATGCCAAACTCTTGAATTACTGTGCTGAACTTCCCAAACCAAGCTCGAGGAGACTGTTTTAGACCATAGAGTGACCTGCGCAATCGACATACAAGGCTACTAGACTCCCCCTGAGCAACAAAACCAGGTGATTGCTCCATATAGACTTCTTCCTCAAGATCACTATGCAGAAAAGCATTCTTAATGTCCAATTGATGAAGAGGCCAATGACGAACGACAGCCATAGATAGAAAAAGATGAACAGATGCAATTTTAGCCACAGGAGCGAAAGTGTCACTATAATCTAGCCCAAATATCTGAGTATACCCTTTGGCAACAAGGCGAGCCTTAAGTCGATCAACCTGACCGTCTTGACCAATTTTGGTTGCATAAACCCAACGACAACCAACAGTAGAGTTACCTGTAGGAAGGGAGACAAGCTCTCAAGTACCACTCTTATGTAAAGCAGGCATCTCATCAACCATAGCCTGCCTCCATCCAGAATGAGAAAGTGCTTCACCTGTAGTCTTAGGAATGGAAATAGAGGACAAAGACGACACAAATGCATAATGGGGTGATGATAGACGATGATAACTTAAGAAGGTATAATGTGGGTTAGTATTTCGAGTGGATCATATACCTTTTTGAAGTGCAAGCGGTTGGCTAGGAGGAGGCAAGTCCGCAGTAGGAGCAGCGTCCGGCGCATGACATGAATCATCTGGGACTAGGGTTGGATGTGGACGGCGATGATAAGTTAGTAGTGGTGGCACTACAACTGGAGATGTAGAAGTAACCGTAGATTCCTCAAAGGTTGGCACAGGTAAAACCTGAGGTATGGGTAAGACCATATAGACATCAGGATGATCAGAAGATGTATAGTAAGGCTGAAACTCAAAAAATGTAACATCAGCAGACATAAGGTATTGATGAAGATCATGTGAATAACAACGATACCCTTTTTGGACTCGAGAGTAACCAAGAAAGACACATTTGAGGGCACGAGGAGCTAATTTATCTTTTCCTGGGGCTAAGTTATGAACAAAGCATGTGCTCCCAAAGACACGAGGAGGGATAGGAAAAAGATGTGACTGAGGAAACAGTATGGAATGTGGAACCTGATTCTGAATAGAAGAAGAGGGCGTTCTATTTATCAAATAACAAGACGTAAGAACTGCATCTCCCCAAAAACGCAGTCGAACATTGGATTCAAGGAGAAGAGTACGAGCGGTCTCAATAAGATACCGATTTTTTCTTTCAGCTACATCGTTTTGTTGAGGGGTGTATGGACAAGTAGTCTGGTGAATAATGCCTTGGTGAGTCATAAACTCCTGAAATTGGGAGGATAAGTATTCTAAGGCATTATCACTACGAAAAGTACGAATAGAAACACCAAACTGATTTTGTATTTCAGCAAAGAAATTTTTAAAAATAGAAAATAACTCAGAACGATCTTTCATTAAGAAAACCCAAGTACATTTTGAATAATCATCAATGAAACTAACAAAATAACGAAATCCTAAGGTGGAACTGACTCTACTAGGACCCTAAATATCATAATGAACGAATGAAAAAATAGACTCTGAACGACCCTCAGTACTACGAGAAAACGTAGCACGAGTATGTTTCCCAAGTTGACACGACTCACAATCTAATGTGGATAAACTAGACAAACTAGGCACCATCTTTTGCAGTTTGGATAGACTCGGATGTCCCAAACGTTTGTGAATTAGATCTGGGGAATCTGTAACGGAGCATGCTGCTAATGAATTTGAAGAGGTAAGATAGTAAAGGCCTTGTGATTCATGTCCTGTTCCAATCATCTGTCCCGTACTGCGGTCCTGCATGAGAAAAAAATCATCGAAAAAAGTTATGCTACAATGTAAGGCTTTCGTCAAACGACTAACAGATGCTAGATTAAAAGGAGAACCAGGGACATAAAGAACAGAGTCTAGGGTGACAGAAGATAGGGGTTTGGCTTTTCCAACCCCTTTTGGTTTTGTTTGGATCCCATTGGCTAAAGTAATAGCTGGAAGAGATTGTGAATAAACAATATCGGATAAAAGTGATTTATTACCAGAGATATGATCAGAAGCCCCAGAGTCCATGACCCATGTTCCAAGAGTACTAGATTGCGACACACAAGCAAAAGAATTACCCGCAACAGAGACATCAGGTTGTGCAACCGAAACTACTTGTGGAGACGTTTGCTTATTTGCACGATACTGAAGGAACTCATCATATTCTGTCTGAGCAATATGCGCATTATTGGATGGTTGATTAGGTTGAGCACCATATGCTACTGGTGGAGATGTCTGTTTACTTGCGCGATTTCGAAGGAACTCAGTATATTCCTTTAGAACAATAGGATCATAACTGGGTGGTGGACCATGCAAAATATAACATATATCACGAGTGTGTCTAGGCTTATGACAATGACTACACTTGGATCGAGGTTTCCCAAAACGCCCTCCCCCTGGCCGATTCTCCATAGATTGATATGTACGCTTTTCAAAGGTTTGAGATGCGAGAATAGATGAGTCAACATTGGGTGATGAAACTCCTTGTGACTGGGAGGTGCCGCAAGACGAAGGAGACGAGAGAATAATTCATCGATTGTAGGAACTGTAGGGCTAGCTAAAATCTGATCACGTACAGAATCATGATCAGGAGGAAGTCCAGCAAGAGTAAGAACTAGAAACAATGTTTGTCTGTGTTCTTGTTGTTTTTCCACATTCGTAGTAACTGGCATCAATGTGTCAAATTCCTCCATGACTGCCTGTACCTGTCCCAAGTAAGTAGACATATCGGATTCTTGTTTCTTTAAGTTGGTCAATCGAGATATCACATCATAGAATCGAGATATGTCATTAGTGTATAAAGCACGAGCCTTTTCCCAAACTATATAACACGTCTGGAATGGGCGAAACAAGGGCATCAACTTGGAATCAATAGAACGCCATAGGAGACTACATAATTGAGCATCTACTTTCTCCCATTGTGCTTTGGCTTTTGCATCTTCCTCACTAGTCTTTGCCTTTACATCTACCACATAAGCCTTGTTCGTTAAGTGATCTTGGACACCTTAACCCTTGCACCACAGCTCAACCAAGGAAGCCCAAGATAAATAGTTTGAACTACCCAATAAAAGTTCTGAAGTGATTATAGGGCTAGAACTTCCAATCCCCATATTTTTAGAACCAAAAACATCACAGCCAAAAGACATTATGCTAAATTTGTCTTGGAAACAATGAAAAAAAAAACTTGATTATTGAGATCTGATTGTCGGAAAATTCAAATCTCGAAGAAAAGTCGCCAGAAATTGCCTGGAAATAGCCGGAACCCTAATTCCGGAGATCGGATCTGGTCAAAACAGTACGGGCCTGGTCGGAATGGCTGGACGACCCCAACTGTCAAAAAAATTCTCAAAAAATATGATCAGAAAAGCCCTCACGCGCCGGCGCGTGAGCCAGATCTCGCCGGAAACTACCACCTCCGATCGGCACGTGAGAGCGCGTGGGGTGATGTTTTCTAGTGGTTTTGGCTGGGGTTTGGTCGCGGGGACTTTCCGAGCCTCGTGGTGGTGTTGGTTTTTGCACAACACCCACAGAAAGAAAAAAGAATAACAAAATCAAACCCAACAGTCTCCGAAAATTGACATAGACATACGGTGACTTGTTTGTTCTCACCAATGCTTGATACCATGTGAGAAATATATACGAAAAATATTATTGAATTGTGTATCTAAATAGTTACATTGAGACCCTATTTATAGACACTACATTGGAATCCTTTTCCAACTAGGATTCCTATTCTTATTCCTATTCCTATTCCTATTTCTATTCTAAGTAGGAAATACTTATTTCTATTCTAACAATTACAATAGATGAAACATCTTCAACTAAATAAGGACATGAATTTAAACAGGAGAGCATGGAGGTCGAGGATCAGGGTAGACGGTTAGTAGGTAGTTGAGCATTTTCTCTCTTCCTCGTGGTAGATCAGGGTTCTAGTCTGGCAGTATTATCCCACCGTCCCAATTTGACACAAAGTTTAAGAAAAAAAGGAAGACTTTTGAAACTTGTGGTTTAAAACAAACCTTAGATATTTGTGTGACGGTAAATCAATTCGTTAGGGGTAAAAGGGAAATTTTAAAGTTATTTCTAATTATAGAAAAGTGATATTCTTTTGAGGACACATTAAAAAGTAAAGTATGTCACATAAATTGGGACAAAGGGAGTATTATTTTGCTAGCATTACCTTGTTCTTCTATTTTATTTCTATTGTTGTTTCTTTTACTTTGGTTATCTCTAATATTTTTATTGTCAAATATTTTTCTTTTTTCAATATTCTCATAATAGCTTTTTACTCATGCATTTCTTTCAAACCATGTTCTGAAAATCGATTTTCTTGATCAGAGGGTCTTTTGAACCTCTCTACCCGTCAGAAATAAGGGTAAGGTCTGCGTATCCCCCACCCTTCCCAAACCCCACTCGTGGGACTATATCGGGTATGTTGTTGTTTGCAAGTACACTAAAGAAAGATTAGAGAAAGCATAGTTAAATATGTCTAGACACCAATTTACTTGAGACAATGCAGAACTTTGCCTATTACTGTGAGTAGATAAATATGTGAAGTGCAAATAGTGAAGCTTTCTGCCTGGCAGTTTTAACCTGAAGTGTGTATCACAGTTTTGATATATTTTTATCTGTAATTTGCTAACTTTGATGCAGTTAACAAATTCTCTCCCAGAGGCCACCTCAAGAAGCAACTTAGCATCTAGACAGCTAGCTTCCTCTCCCGGATTAAACACTTCAAGTTCTAGTCTTCGAAGACCATCTTCTTCAGGTGGATCAAGACCTTCAACTCCTACTGGTAGACCGACATTGAGCTCATCTAGATCCACCTCGACCTCAGCATCTAGATCCACATCTGCTGCAGCAACCAAAGCAATGGCATCCACTGCAACCTCTAGATCAATGTCAACCACGACAGCATCTAGATCATCAAGGTCTGCAACACCTACTTCTCTGGCCACCATGCCTTCTGCAAAACCCACTGTTCCTCCAAGATCTTCAACACCTACTGCAAGATCCAGTGCACGGTCCTCAACACCAACAAGCAGGGCCTCAGTTACTGGATCAAAGTCCACATCAAGGGCAGCAACTCCAACTCGTCGAGCAACTTCAGTGTCAAGTACAACAAATACAACTGTTCCTCCAGTTAAATCTGTGTATTCCCCTTCGGGTACCAGGTCAGCTACAACGGCATCACGAAACCCTGCAGCCTCACATGCTAGTTCTCCAACTGTAAAACCCAGACCATGGAAGCCTTCAGATATACCAGGGTTCTCCCTTGATGCTCCACCCAATTTAAAGACATCACTACCTGACAGGCCAATTCAGCTACAAGGGGCAGACCTGGAGCAGCTAGTGTCAGGTCTTCATCTGTTGAGCCAGCTTCAAATGGAAGGGTTAGACGACAGTCATGCTCTCCAGCAAGAGCACGTCCTCCTAATGGTGTTATGCATAGCAGTGGAAGCTCTGTTCCTGTACCATCCATGAACCGACTGACTTCATTCTAAAGCCAAGGACAATGTAAGCCCTGGCATGGTTGGGACCAAAATGGTTGAAAGGGTAATAAATATGCAGAAGCTGGTTCCTCCAAAAACAAGATGGCAAACATTCTCCATGCAGTAACTTATCTGCAAAGTCTTCGTCACCTGATAGCTCAGGTTTTGGAAGATCATTATCAAAGAAATCCTTGGATATGGCTATTAGACATATGGTATATACATTCTTTTCACATTCCTATGCTAATAGAATATTGTGCTCTACCATAGACTGAAGACATAAGTATATTTTCAAAAATTGATTAGAGTAGCAATATTTGTGTTGTTTTTTTTATAGCTCTAAGTCTTAGATGATCTGTCTTGTTGGCCTTCTTGTTCTCTTATCCTTTTTGGATTTGCTTAACTTTGAGACAATGCTCTTGGACAGGATATAAGGCAGAGAGTCTCGGGTAATCTGCGTCCCTTGATGACTAATATTCCAGCATCCTCTATGTACAGTGTGAGATCAGGGCCGCCTACTAGAGGCAGGACAAGCAGGTCAATTAGCGTGCCTGACTCCCCACTTGCCACGAGCAGTAATGCTAGTTCTGAGGTGAGTGTAAGCAACAACGTTGTGTGGGTTGATGGAAGTGAAATTGATGAAGACATTAGCAGTGATAAAGGTGCTCGATCACCTGCCAGTGTGCGTGGGAGGTGATGATTGGCTTTCATGCTGCATGATGCTTTCTATGTTTTGGATCGGTGCCAATTTGAGAGTTCTGACACCTGAATATGATTGTTTCCCTGGAAGAACTGACTGATTTGATTCACCTGACCATGTAAAGATTGATGCACTGTCTAGCTATATTTTGAATCATTGTATTATTAGTCCTGTCCATGCCAATGCCTCCTTTTTGTTCATGAGAAATGTGACATATATGAGATTAGTATGTCTAAACATCTTGTGATGTGAAATGTGACATTTTGCTTTCTTAGAACATTTAATTTACTTTTCTAACAGATAATTCATATGTCGAAATGTCTATCTGTTGTTCCTTCAGGTCATGTTAGGCAGTGAGATGCAATGGAATTACCAGATGTAGTGAACTTGTTTTGACATGGATGCTGAACAAAGATAGTAGATTTCAACCGCGATGTCTAAAGCTCAAATACATTAGAGATATATTATACCATTAGCAAATCAAATAGTGCTTTGATGAATTATCAACTAGTGTAGTTCCAATAGAACAACACAACCACTCATGTTAAGGAAAATTCAATCATTTTATGCTCTTTATTGTTGATGGTTTTTCTCATATACTATTTAATAAATATATGAGAAAAAAGAAGAAAACATTTAATTTAAACCATCGTGAAATTCCGAAGTTATTCTAGAAAGGAAAATGGTCGAAGAGTTCACATTGAAGACTTGTCGACCATTTGATTTATCATTTGCTCAAGTCGTTGATTGTACTTGCCTAATAATTAGCCCTACAAAGACAAAACACCATAAGAAGAATGGAGTGATAAGAGAAATTTCTCACTTACGAACTTTTTAAATTGCAATGATACTCTAATTTAATTGCATTGTAATATACCTTTAGGACTATTCAAAACGAGTCACTTTTACTCTCCATTACTTTTTTTGCTCAAAAATGCTTTCGTTGTTAGGTTTTTGGATCAAATATGCCCTCCAACTAGCAAAAAAGTTCAAACATACCTTGTTACTTACGGTTAGGGGTGTTCATGGGTCGGTTTGGATCGGTTATTGGTCAAAATCAAAATCAAACCAACTTAATCGGTTTTAAAATTATCAAAATCAAACCAAACCAAATATAATATACATTTATCGGTTTGGTGGTTATCGATTTCGGTTTGGTTTGGTTTGGTTCGGTTATTAACCATACACAAAAATAAAAGAAACAATTCATTCAAAATGTTAAAAAAGTGACAACAATCCATTCAAAACGAAAAATAGTTAGAATTACTTAAATAATTGAACTTTCGATCACTAAATTTACTATCAATAAAGCTTTAAAATTCACAATATTGGCCTAGAAGGAAGAGACAATAACATTTTTAGTCCCACAAAGAATTGTCATAGACACTCATATACATGAAATCAATAAGATAAATGTTTCATCATGGGCATTTTTGCTTTCGATAAGTAAATTATAAAGAAATTTTAATGAAAATATGTATAAGATATTTAAAATTGTTTATAAAAACAATATATTAAGTATGTATATTAATTAAATATATGTATATAATTCATCGGTTCGGTTATTTCTTCTATTTTTTCGAATAAAACCATAATCAAACCAAATACTATCGGTTTTCAAAAATCTAAAACCAAACCAAACCAAACCAAACCCAAATAAAATCAATTTTATTTTATCGGTTTTTCTGTTTGAATTGGTTTTTATCCAAACCGTGAACACCCCTACTTACAGTTGCTCCGAAACAAAAATAAATTAATACTCCCTATGTCCCCAATTACTTGTCCATTTTTGAATTGACACACCACTTAAGAAAACAATTATTGATATAGTGAGTTTACCATTTTACCCCTATTAATTATGAAGTAGATGAATTAAAAACTTAAGATTTTCAAGAAGTTCTACTTTCAAAGTAATTAAATAAGGGTATAATAGGTAAAAAAAATTATTCTTTCTTGATTTGTCAAAATGAACAAGTATTTAAGGATAATTAAAAAAGAAAAAATGGACAAATAATTAAGAACGGAGGAAGTATTGTCTTTGAGCTATTCAAAATAAGACTTTTTTTTTGGGCTCAAACTGCTGATATGCTAATTGATGAATCTCTTTCGTTTTTATTTCGCCAAACTTTGGGATAAATTTTATTTAAATAGAAAAAGTTTGACCAAACTTTAATCTCATAGAATCCATTTTGAGCATCTCCATTGAATTCCCAGTCCCTTTTTCTCATTTTCCTTATTTGTCCTAATTGGGTCTTCGTTACCAAACTTTTAATTTAACCTAACCCTTTTGCAAAAAAATAATAATAAAATCTGGAAACCTAATTTCCAGGAAGTTTACCTGAAGAGGAGAATTCAATATTAAGCACTAGAGGAGTTGACTGGCCACAAATTATGCAAACTCTACGAGTCATGTAGAAGAACAAACCGCAATGAGCTGCCTTCATAATTGATCAATCGTTCCGACATCTCTCAATATATTATACTACAAGATTTTCTACATGTTGCTACGAACATTGGACTAATATTACACATCTTACCTAACTTAATAAGAATAATTTTACTACGTAGACAAAAAGAAGACTTAAACAATTAATGTCCCTCAGAAAATAAAAAAAAAATCACTTCTTGAAATACTATACATTTTTCACTTTAACGTCAAAGAATGAGACAATAATAGTATGCAATAGGGAATTTATGAGAACAGTCTGGCAGAGGTTAGAGAAAAAAAACAAACTTTAAAATCCAATAATTTACCAGCAAGTCATAACTCAGCCTACTGGTCTAAATTTGTGTCCAATTTTATTGTACAGGTGAATCTTTATGTCCCTTTCTATATTTTCTAGTCTACCTTAAAATACCCAACTTGTCAATATCATGAAAAATCATACAAACAATTAAAATTGGAGAATAAATTTAATAGTATTAGATCTGTGTCTTTTGCTACCAACCTTCTTACTTTCTTAAATGATTCTCCCAACTCATACACAGAATTCTCACTTTTATGCTATGAAGAAGTATACTGTTGTACTATCTTTACTGACCTTTTTCTCTTTGCTACTACCCTATGTTCTTTGCTCATCAAAAGTTCAGTTGGGAGGGAATGAAACAGACAGAATGTCACTACTAGCATTCAAGAATATGATCATTGATGACCCTTTCAAGATCATGGACTCCTGGAATGAAACTATACATTTTTGTGACTGGCCTGGGGTTTCATGTGGTCGACGTCATCCCCGAGTTACAGTTTTAAATCTTACTTCTCTGAAATTGAGGGGTTCTCTGTCACCAAGCATTGGTAATCTGAGCTTTCTTTATGTCCTTAAGCTCCAAAATAATAGTTTTTCAGGTGAAATTCCATCAGAGATTGGCTACTTACATAAGTTAAAGTTTTTACGCCTTGATAATAACTCGTTCACTGGTCATATTCCATCAAACATTTCAGGATGCTTCAATCTTGTTTCTGTTGTTCTTTCGTATAATATGATGGTAGGCAAAATTCCAGCAGAATTAGGCACATTGTTGAAACTCAAACAACTTTCTCTTGTTTCTAACTATTTTACAGGAGGAATTCCGCCTTCATTTGGTAATCTTTCTTTACTTGATACCTTTTCCGCAAGCAAGAATAATTTGTTAGGGAAAATACCTGATGAATTATGTCAATTGCTCAACTTAAAGTACTTTGTAGTGAATGAGAACAACTTGAGTGGTACCCTGCCTCCTTGTCTTTTCAATCTTTCCTCTATCGTGGCCATAGATGTTGGAACAAACCATTTAGAAGGAAAATTGCCTCCATTGCTTGGTATTACTCTTCCTAATTTAGAGTTCCTTAGCATCTATAGAAACAATGTAACTGGAAATATTCCGGTAACATTGTCAAATGCTACGAATCTTCAGTCTCTTATTGCTAGTAGAAATGGACTCACAGGAAAAGTACCACCCCTTGGAAATTTGCTGAAAATGCGGAGATTTTTAGTTGCTTTCAATTATCTTGGGAAGGGGGAGGATGATGACCTTACCTTTCTCACCACATTGGTGAATGCCACCAGCTTGGAGCTTTTGGAGCTCAATACAAATAATTTTGGTGGAGTCTTCTTACCTGCATCTGTTAGTAATCTTTCGACTGAGATTATAGAGCTTTCGTTGTCTTATAATCAGATTTCTGGAGAAATCCCAAGAGGGATATCCAATCTCAAGAAGCTTCAGGCTTTCTTTGTAGCTTACAACAGATTTCACGGTGAAATTCCGTCTGAAATTGGTGATCTGATATATTTGCAAGAGCTGGCTTTACTTGGAAATCAGTTCTCTGGCAAAATTCCAATCTCATTGGGAAATTTAGCTTCTTTAACCAAACTCAATTTAAGAGAAAACAATCTCCAGGGGAGAATTCCTTCCAGTTTAGGCAAATGCCACAATTTGGAACTGTTGGATCTTGGTTCAAATAACCTTACTGGGTTCATACCATCAGAAATTCTTGAACTCTCATCCTTGTCGGAGGGCGTGGACCTATCTCAGAACCAATTAACTGGTTTCCTTCCGATGGAAATTGGGAAGTTGAGAAATCTAGGCTACTTAAACCTGTCTGATAACAAGTTGCAGGGCCAGATTCCTACCAGTATAGGTACTTGTGTGAAACTTGAAGCACTAGACTTAAACAACAACAACTTTCAGGGTAGTATTCCTTCAACCATGAATAGTTTGCGAGGCCTGGAACTTTTAGTCCTTTCTCACAACAATCTGTCAGGTGGAATCCCGGGATTCTTGAAGGACTTCAAATTTCTGCAGATTTTAAATCTGTCTAGCAATAATTTGGAAGGTGCTGTCCCAACAGGAGGCATCTTTAGTAATGCTACTGTGGTTTCCATCATAGGAAATAGAAATCTCTGTGGGGGTGTACCAGAGTTGGACCTTCCGGCTTGCATTGTAGAGGTAAAGAAAGAAAGGAAATCAGGTTTTCCCTTGAAAATAGTAATTCCTGTAGTTAGTGGGCTTATAGGATTGACATTCATAGTTTGTTTTCTCGGCATACGACAGTTTAGTAGATCGAGAAAACCAACACCTACAGATATACCTGAAAACTCAACCTTAAGAGTATCTTATCAGTGTCTACTTAGGGAAACTGATAGATTTTCTGCATCAAATTTGCTTGGAGTGGGTGCTTTTGGGTCTGTATATAAAGGAATTTCTGAACACAATGGTACGTTTTTTGCTGTTAAGGTACTGGACCTTTCACACCATGCAGCTTCCAGGAGTTTTTTAGCTGAATGTGAGGTTCTAAAGAACATTAGACATCGTAATCTTGTAAAGGTTCTAAGTGCATGCTCAGGTATTGATTATGAAGGTAATGAGTTCAAGGCCATAGTTTATGAATACATGGATAAGGGAAGTCTACAGGACTGGTTACATTTCACTACTCAGGAGAAATCTGAGTCACAGGAAGAGCACAAGAAGCTCGGTTTTATTCAAAGATTAAACATTGCCATTGATGTTGCCTGTGCTCTGGATTATCTCCATAATGATTGCCAAACCCCAATAATTCACCGTGATCTGAAGCCAAGCAATATTCTTCTCGATGAGAACATGACTGCACATGTTGGTGATTTTGGTTTGGCAAGATTTGTTCCACCAGCAATTCCGAACTCATCAGCAAATTCAAAAAGCTCTACAGGTGTAGGGGGAACTATTGGTTATACACCTCCAGGTAATAATAAATCAAGGTTTCTGCTGGTTGTCATATATATGTCTTTTGATAAGAATATCTCTAATTCTGTAGTATTTCTTGTTGACAGAATTAGGTATGGGAAGCGACGCCTCAATCTATGGAGATGTATACAGCTTTGGCATTCTGCTCTTGGAAATATTTACCGGGAGGAAACCAACTGATGAAATGTTCAAAGACAATTTAAACCTTCATAACTATGCCAATGCTGCTTTGCCAGACAGAGTAATGCATATTGCAGATCCCATTCTTCTCCAGGAAAGAGATGAACTTGGAATGAAATACAAAGTTGATGACAATACAAGCAGTGCTGGCGACATATTTCTGTCATTCTTAGTTAAGGTGATTCAAATCGGAGTTTCCTGCTCCGTTGAATCTCCAAAAGAAAGAAAGCAGATCAGTGATGTCGTTGGAGAACTCAATTCATTAAGGAAGTTGTTCTTGGAGCAAGCATACCCGAAAGAAAAGGTTATAAGCTTCAACCTGCATTGACAGATGATGACAGGCATAGGGTTAGTCCGTCTCATGCTTGGTGACATGAGGTTAATATGCACTGTGAAACAAATTCATGAGTTTAAGGTTTGATTCTGCTCTTTTAATTTGTAGTTATAAAGTTGTACATTCCTAATAAAAGATAGCTCTTTGCACATTTCTTAGTTTAGATGCCTTATTTATTAAGATCAGTTCAACGCCTTCTGCTTAAGGTTCTTGAGACCTTTGAAATATATATACTCTGGCATCCAATACCACCTTTAGTTGTTCTAATTCATGAAGATTGCAGCATATTTCTAAATGTGTGGTTATATGCAAACATGTAATAAAACATTCCCCATATAATACTGAACATGATTTATCTAATTTTCTTTTGGTGACAGATTACATCACCACAAGCAACCTGAGTAATTATATGTTTCACTGATTTTGTTTTTATGACAAGACAAGGAAAACAAAGTTGATCCCCTAAAATCTAAAAGGAAAAAAGGGAAGCTCAGATGTGCAACTATCACCATGTTTAATCAGATGAGTGCAGAGACCCAAATCACCGCATTGAGCACAGATTCTTCACAGCTAACCCAGGAATGGAATGCACCAGCCGGGAATCGAACCCGGGTCTGTACCGTGGCAGGGTACTATTCTACCACTAGACCACTGGTGCTACTTGCTATTGTTTTGCTCATTTTACACTACAATCATTTAGATATTAAACAAAATATATAAGAGTAGTTAGAATGGAATGAACAGCCCAGATTTCTGAAATTTTGGTATTCAAAATGTCAACAAGTAATCATGTTTTGAAGTTGAGGTCAATTAGGCTTGTAGAAGGAAATGAAGTTCAAATTTTGCACATCCAAATTATTCTTCATAAACAACAATATCTTGTAGTTTTATTATTAATTTTTGAAAGTAATTGAGATCACATAAACAACTTTTTTTGTGAGGAGCATTTTTGTTTGTAATATTGTTACTATTGGTCACACTATGGCCCAACATTCAGTCTTGGGTAATGTCCAAACCAGTACTGTACTAGACACTTAGGGGTCGTTTGGTAGAGTGTATTAGAAAAAACAATACATGCATGCATTAGCCTTGTGTATTACTAGTACCTTGTTTGGTGCTCTTTTCCAATTAATGCATAACTAATGTTCGCATTTGTTATACACTCTATTGTGTATTAAGGTGTGCATTGCTAATACCATAGATTTCTAGGTATTAGCAATGCAATGATTTTAATGCATGCATTAACACGGTAAAAGACTCAATTGTCCCTCAAAATCCTTGTTTACATCTTTTCCACCATAATAGTGGAGGGTGTCTTTGTACATAACTTTTTTTATGCCATACATGTTATTTTTAATGCATCAAACCAAACAATGCATAAAAATAATCTATGTATAATTAATGCAAGCATAACTAATACATGCATTGTTAATGCAAACATTACTAATACGCTCTCTTTAGCATTATTTTTATCTACTCTACCAAATGAATCCTTAATTTCGTATTTATCTAAATTTCTGTCCTTAACAAAAAAGAATAAGAACAAAGCGCACTGAGACTTCATAATTGACCAACTGCTCCGACATCTCTCAATATTTTCGAGTAAATTTTCATGCCATATGTTGCACTAACGTTCCACATCAAGAACTTTATTATGTCTATACAAAAAAAGAATTACACAACTAATATGGTAACAAAATAAAAAGTGATTTTCACTTCTCGAAATACTTTACATTTTCACTTTTGCCGTTTAGTGCATGCTTCAGAGAGTTGTAAGTTGTTTATATCATAATAACTCCTCCTTTAATTTAATCAAAATGGTCAATGACCATAATTTTTTTAATTAAAATAAGAGAAATTGTATAATAAAAAATGAGAAGGCAAGAAATAATTTTAATTGTCTCGGAGTATAACTCATAGAATCGAACAATAATAGGGAATGTTGGTGGAATAGGTTGAAGATGAAGGAAGCTGATAATTAGAACATGTCAAAGGAACCGGTCCAAGACAGTTGACTGACGTGTTTATTACTGTAGAATTAGAGTCACACTAGGACTAGACTATTAAATCCTAACTTATGTACGACTAAGCTGGTGTATCGTGTATGGGGCTAAAGTCGACTAGGATAAAGTGTTTTAATTATAGTAGTAATACTACTCATGTAAATAATATATTTGTATTGTAATAGGACTCCTAGTGTAGCTAGTATAAGACTCTTCTCCTTTATAAGGAGCATGTACTCAACAATTTTAATTATCAATACAATCCTTGATTTCTCTATACTTTACATGAGAATTCTACATAGTATCAGAGCATTAAAACTTTTCCGCTCTTTAATGTATTAGTTCCAAAAATCAGAATAACCACAATATCAAATTGCAATGACCTCTTCTACCAACACCTTATCAACCTCCTCACTTCACCATCTTATTGTGTCTTGTTCCATTAAACTCAAGCCATCAAATTATCTTATATGGAGAACACAAATGTTTCACTTGATTCAAGTGATGAGATTAACCTACCTCATCACAGAGAATTAACCAACTAAAAGTACTCGTTCCACTGGACAAATTATTGAGAAAGCTATAGCAATTGAGAAGGATGCAGAAGACAACAACAATATTGATGATTAGGAGGAGAATGATGTGTTACTAAGAAGTTGGATCTCAGGCACCTTGATAAAAGAAAGCATATACCAGATTGTAGGCGGCTCAACTGCCAAGGAGATGTGAGAATGCTTGGAAAAAACTTATCTTCAAGCAACGAAAGATAAGGAGTTCCAACTCAAACAACAACTGCAAAGTGTTAAGATAGGAACCAAAAAGATTGATGAATATATTAAGGAAATCTAAGGCATATGTGATGGTCTTGCAACCATTCACAAGCCTGTGAATGAAGATAACAAAGTTATTAATTTTGCTAGAGGTTTAGGTCTCAAGTACAAGACCTTCAGGACTGACATGCTAGGTAAGACCTCATATCTCACTCTTAATCAATTTATTAATGCTCTTAGGGTTTTGATATGAGGGAGGATAAAGAAGAAGTGTTACAACAAAATCATAACATGGCATTCTCTGTCCAAAGGGACAGGGGAAAAGGAAACTAATCTCAAAGAAGAGGAAACAATAACTTCCACTCCAGAGGAAGAGGCTTCAAGTCTGCTGGACAAGGAACATGTTCTTATAACAGCAAATATTGTCACGACCCAGACCGTCGTGATTGACACTCACACTAACCCTTCGATGGGAGAACCACTACTACAACCCAACTAAGCAACCTTACGAAAAACTAAGCATTTAAAGATACGGAAGCAAGTTTAAATGACTAAATAACATGGAGTTCCCATAAACTCTGAAAGCTTAAATAAGCAACTAAACATAACTATTGCGGAAATTCACCCCTAGAACCTGAAAGTCAATGTACCAAAACTCTACTAAACGACAAGTCTAAGAAAAAATGGTGCAACCCCGAATCTAACATAAGTAAAAGTCTAACTAAGCAGTCTAAGTCCGAAAAGAACGGATTAAACAACTGAAGGATCCATGGCAACCTGGAAGAACTGGCTTACCCTTAAATTCGGTCTTCGATCAATGATCCCCTGGCTGAGGTCTATCAGTAGCCGCCTGAAGATGCCCTGTACTCAACAAAGAACGAGCAAGTGCAGTATCAGTACATGACCACAGTGTACTGGTAGGATCACGTTGCTACTCCAGTAAACGAAATACAGACAAGTAATTACAACACAATAAACACACATATACAGAATATATAGTTCAATTATCATTTCAGAAGCAACATACAACTTTCCAATATCAATGACAGGTAGACATGAATGTAATAATCACAAGTGGTCCTTTCATGGAACCCACACCCAAACTGTTAGTGTTTCTGAACGTGACACCCGATCAAATGTACATGTGTCGGAACGTGACATCCGGTCCAATATGTGTGTCGAAACGTGACACCCGATCTAATATGTGTGTCGAAACGTGACACCCGATCCAATATATGTGTCGGAACGTGACACACGATTCAATCAGCACAACCACAATCACAATCACACCCATAATGAACAATGCTCATAGTCATACAATCAAATAAAGGAGTCGTGGCATGTAATAGTTCATACATACTCATTTTCATCAGATTTGATTTACATTTTCTTATTCACATACATGCATGCATATAATGAAGCAATTAACCAGCATATATCACACAAATAGAAAATCAATCCATCACCTACCTCGAAACCAAACTGAATCCTCCTAAGACACTTGAGTCTTCCCTTTTCGGATTCTTTTCACTTGTTCTTGATCTAAAACAGTTAAATAATGCATGAATCAATAAACAAGGTCTAATTTACCCAGATAATAATCAAACTATCAATCCTAGTCCAAACCCAAGATCCCAATACTCAATTAGAGCTTTTCCACTATCAACTTCAGGCCAAAACCCTCCCCTAATGATAATTACTCAAGATTCTAAGTTCTAAGAATCGAATTATGGATTAAGGAAGTAATTATCTTACCTTTAGCGCTAGTAATCGTGGAAAACTGTCAAGAGCTGCTCTAGTTCGTCTCCTAGCTCTCAAGAACAAAGTTTTGCAGAAAATAACGAAATTTGGATTTTTCCGCGACTTAAGTCACGACTGTCCCGCCACAACGGAACCCAACCCGCCATAGCGAAACCCAACCCGCACAGAGACAGAAAGTCAGAATTTGAGTTCCAAGCTCCTATTTTGCAACACACCTTCAACCCTTGACGTTCAGAAACTACCCTTTCACGCCAAGATCAGTTTCAGGAGTTCTACTCGCCCAAATTCGATTCCGTAAAGCCATACAAGCTCCTTAACGTCTTAGCTATCCACTCATGTGATCAAATTCATAATTAAATCCCCCCATTCATTAGCAGATTTCCCTAGACCTTACCTACCTCAGATTTCGTCCAAATCTGGACTAGGCTAGAAATTTCCAAGTCACTACTCAAAAGTTTTCTGGCCCCAATTCTTTTCCCATTGGCTTTTCCATAACGACGGAAACAGATCGTTACAAATATGGACCAAGCTCTCATAATAGTCCTTCAGATTGAAGTCAGGAGAGGAACAATAGTGATGCTTGTAAAACTTCTATTGATTTGTTAACATTTTAATATTAATATTTTGTATATTAATTTGCTAAAACTTAGTGTTGCTGTTGCTGCCAACCGTTGGTGGATTTTTATTTGCTACCGTTGAAGTAGAGGTTAATGTTGCATTACTCTAGTGTATTACTCCATTTTTGAAGTTACTGCATATGTTACCAATTCTTGTTGCAGCGTGTCACAAGCCAACAGATGGCTTTGACCATTCAACCAAGAGAGGTTTCACTGTCCATTAAATTTTTTGTAACATCTCATATATTATTTCACTTTTTATTCCTCCATTATACCTTGTAACTTATGTAATCTCTAGGCTGTTTATCTCCACTATTAACTACCACATTATCTTCCTATTCATTGCTAGGAAGACTTTCTCAACTATAAATAGTGATGGTCTTCATTTAGTTTGGGTACACACAAGAAAATATAGAGTGCATAAAAATTAGTCAAAAAAGAGAGTTATTATTAGTCGAAGGGAGGTGTTCTTTTTGTGGAGCTTTGGACTCAGCTCTTGTCCAAAGTTAGTTGAGTTGTACTTTGTGATTAGAATGTTATATCCTGAAGGGGACAAGTCAAGAGGACTAATGTTGAACCGACAAAAACATTTGCTACAATGTGCCTTAAAGAGAGCGAGATGTCCGCACCTCAGCCTCAAGAGATTTTATTTCTTCTTTTAGTTTCAATTGTAATAATATTGTAATTTTCACTAACAATTTAAAGGGGATTCATAATGACTACAATTGTAAAAACTACGGATGTCAAGGTGGAAGATCTTAACAAGCCATTTCGGTTCAATGGTTATCATTTCAAGAGATGAAAGGGTAAAGTACTTTTCTACTTAAGTCATCTCAATGTTTCTTATGTGTTAATTGAGAAGAATCCTAAGAAAGTTGGCATCACCTCTACGAATGATGATGAAACTATTTCTCATCTAGAGAAAGTGGAAAAGTACGATGGTGATTCATTAAGTGTCGGTATTATATTCTTAATTGTCTATTTGATATTTTTTATGATTATTATGACAGAACTTACTCTAGTGCCAAGAAAATTTGGAAAGCATTGCAGAGTAAGTATAAAGAGGTTGAAGCGAAAAAATATGAGGCTAGTAGATTTTTTCGTTCTCAAATAGTGGACAACAAATCAGTTGTAGACCAAGCTCAAGACTTCATAATGATTGTTGGAGAGCTCAGGTTTGAAGAGATCAAAATTGAAGATAACCTTATTGTTTGTAGCATAGTAGATAAACTTCCACTTTCTTTTAAGGAATTTCAAAAAACTATGTTCCAAAAACAAAAGGAAATCTCTCTTGAAACGTTGATAATGAAAATTTGTATGGAAGAGGAGGCAAGATGCCAAGATGCACTTTTACAATTAGAAGAGAGCAACATCACAACGAAGGTAAATTTAATTACTTCAAATAATGCTACTCCTGAATCTCACAAAAATACTTATATGAAGCCTAAGAAGAAAAAAATAAAGATAACGAATGGTACACCTCCCAAGAAAAATAATGATGGAAATAACCAAGCACAAAATCAACAAGTTCAGGATAAGGGTCCGTGTTTTGTTTGTGGCAAGAGTGGGCATGCTGCTCGATTTTGCATATTCAGAAAACGTGATTCTACACCTCAGGCAAACGTTACTGAAGAACCTTTTGTGGCGGTAATTACCGACATAAACATGGTTGAGAATGTTGATAGATGGTGGGTTGATTCATGTGCAAACTGTCATGTCTGTTATAACAAATATTGATTTAAAAAATATACTCATTTTACGGAGCCCAAAACTATTATGCTTGGTGATTCTCACACTACTCGAGTGTTTGGAACGGGAGAAGTCGAATTGTATTTTACTTCTGTAAGGGTATTAACTTTGAAATATGTACTTTATACTTCTTTCATTAGAAAAAAAATTGATGTCTAGTTTTCTTCTTAATAAAGCAGACTTTAAGCAAATTATTAAATCTAATCAATATGTAATTGTGAAAAAAAAAAGTATTTTTGTTGGAAAAGGGTAGGGGTGTACATGACCGGTTGATTCGGATCTTTCAAATATCAAATCAAACCATTTGTGTAAACAATTTAAATTTATAAACCAAATCAAACTAATAAAAACTCGGGTTTTTTTCGATTTTTTCAACCTCGAGTTGATTCAGATTTTTCAAATATCAAACCACACCATTTGTGTCGAATGTTTTTATTTTCAAATCAAACCAAACTAATAAACCTTGGATTTTTTTTTTCAAGTTTGTGGATTTTTCCGGTAAAATTTTCATACAAACATATAATTAACTTGTTCTCCAAATATTTCTTTATAAGACCAACCAAAATACAAATATCTAAGGTGTTTCTTAAGAAAATAATACAAAATATGAGATTAGAGATGACACTAAAATATTCAATAAAAAATAATAATGAAATCATATAAAATAAATATTGCAAATTGATAAGTCACAATGAAAATGATCATAATTTAAAAGTACTAAATCATGCTAAAATAAGTATAATAAGTACTAATTACATGATTAAACATTAAAGAAAAATTAAAATTAGATTATGTATTTTAAATGTCTAAACCAATGTAAAACTAAAGAACAAATATTCAACATTGTTGTCATTCTTAGTGTTATTAATTTATTTTGTTAGCATTAGTATTGATTTAATTCTAATTGAGCTTTATTAGAGTTACTAATATCTATGGACTATAAACTTTATTGGACCATTCAAAACTCTAAGTCTCAAAAAACTTGAAAAATATGTTAAAAGAAAAATTATGAAAACATATAAGTAATATTTAGAAATTACATCAAAGTAAATACTTTTACATGTAAAATAAATTTTAAAAATTATATATATAATGTCGGGTTGGTTTGGTCTCGGTTTGACTTTTTTTACTTAAAACCAAACCAACCCAAGTATAGTCAGGTTTTTTTTCCAATACAAAACCAAGTCAAACCAAACCATTAGTCGGGTTCTTTTTTCAATTTGACTCGATTTGCGGTTTGATTCGGCTTTCGATTCGGTTTTGTACACCCCTAGAAAGGGATATGCTTGTGATGGGATGTTCAAACTGAATGTTGAAATGAATAAAGTTTCTACTACTGTTTATATGCTTTCCTCTACTAATTTTTGGCATGCTCGTTCGTGTCATATTAATGACCGTTATGTTGAAATCATGAGTAGTTTAGGATTAATCTCAATGGTTAAAAAGAATTTTGAAAAGTGTGAGGCTTGTAATAAAGCCAAAATCACTAAAAGGAGTCATTTTCAAGTTAAAAGAAAAACTGATTTGTTAGAATTAATTCATGCTGATATTTGTGAACTTGAAGGAATTTCAACTCGTGGAGGTAATAGATATTTATTACTTTCATGGATGATTTCTCTATGTTTACTTGATGAAATAAGAGTGATGCCTTTTAAAATTTATCTCCATGAGGGTTGAAAATTAGTTTGGTAGAAAAATAAAAATAATTTTATGATACTTTTTCTCCGTAACAAGAATTACATTTATAAGACTTTTAATCGCTATGACTGCAATTTTGTATTTGTAAATTTATCAAATGGATGTAAAAACTGTTTTTTAAACGGAGACCTAAATAAGGAAATTTACATGGATCAACCTGAATATTTTGTTGAAGCAAGTCAAGAAAGCAAAATGAGTAAACTCCCTAAATTCATATATGGCTTGAAACAGGCACCAAAGCAATGACATGACAATTTTGATTCCTGCATGATTGAAAATGATTTTAAAACAAATGAATGTGATAAGTACATTTATCATAAGTCTTGAAATAATTCACATGTGATTATTTACCTATATGTTGATGATTTATTGATCTTTGACTCTAACATTAATGTTATTGATGAAGCTAATTAAAATATTCTTAGAAGCCATTTTGATATGAAAGATCTTGGTGAGACAAATTTTATTCTTGGAATAAAAATAACAAGAAGATGTGATGAAATTTTTCTTGACCAGTCCCATTATGTTGAGAAAATTTTGAAAAATATAATTCTCTTAATTGCAAGCATGTTGTAACTTCTTTTGATTCAAATGTTCACTTATTTCTTGTTGAAAGTGAAAATAATATAATAAATCAAAAGGAATATGCTAACTTAATTGGAAGTTTGAGATATGTGACTATTTGCACTATACTAGGACTGATATTGCATGTGCAGTAAGAGTACTTAGTAGGTTTACAAGTCAGCCAGGTAATGAACATTGACATGTTATAACAAAAGGTATGAGATATTTAATTGGAACAAAAAAATTGTGATTTGTTCTATAAAAAATATCTTGTTGTACTTGAAGGCTTTTCTGATGCAGATTGGAACACTTTATTAGGTGATTCATGTTTTACCATTGGTTACATTTTTACTTTAGGTGGCGGCGCTATTTGTTGGAAATCAAAAGGCAAACACTAATTGCTAACTCTACTATGGAGGTTGAACTAATTGCATTAGCTTCAGCTCGTGAGGAAGTGAATTGATTGAGAGATTCGTTATTTCGAATACCTTATTTTGAAAAATCAATTATCGTATTTTAATTCATTGTGATAGCACTGCTGCAATTGGTAGAGTCCAAAACCATTATTACAATAGTAAATCCATACCTATTATGAGGAAACAGAGTAATGTAATCGTATTTAACAAGTGGTACTATTAATATTATTGATTATGTCAAATCTTGTGATAATCTTGCAGATCTTCTAACTAAAGCTTTAACAAGAGAAAAAGGTCTGGAGCACATCGAGAGATATTGGATTGAAGCCTATAAATCCTTAGTCATATATGAGGAAATCCAACTTAGGGACTAGAGATCCTATAACCATGTTCAATGGGAAAAACGAATTGTATGATGACTTGTGGTGAAAATGCACTATATTTTTTTTTCTCACCCTATGATGTGAGTGCATTTTTTCCTATAGTAATTTGGGAAGGTTCAGTTTGAAAAACTCTTAATAAAAATCTGTAGCCCGTATGGGTGGAGTGTTAAGCAAGCAGGAAAACTCTCGACATATTTCACCTATGTGAGTGTGGAAATATGTCACTTTCAGTGAGAATTGAACTTATTTCAAAAGCACTCATGAAATCGGGATAGCACAGGGTTGTAGCGTGCTGGTTTTTAAAGCTCATGTCAACACCTTGATTATTATGTGTAGATAGTGATATTTTATATCCCTTAAACAGTCATAGTTTAAGTCTGAGACCACTTCGACTCTGGAGTAAAAGTTAGTGTTCTACTAAGTGGAGGTCCAATGCAGAGCACACTTTTATTATGCATAGTAGTCTTCCTTAAGCTAATAGACTCTCCTATCTAATATTAAAATGAGTGGGGAATTATTGATTTGTTAGCATCTTAATATTAATATTTTGTATATTAATTTGCTAAAACTTAGTGTTGTTGTTGCTGCCAACCGTTAGTGGCTTTTCATTTGCTACCGTTGAAGGAAAGGTTAATGTTGCATTACTCCATTTTTGGAGTCACTGTATATGTTACCAATTCTTGTTGCAACATGTCACAAGCCAACAAATGGTTTTGACCATTTAGCCAAGAGATGTTTCATTGCCCATTAAAAAAATTGTAACCTTTCATATATTATTTCACTTTTTATTGCTTCATTATATCTTGTAACCTCCAGGTTGTTTATCTTCACTATTAACTACCTCATTATCTTTCTATTCATTGCTAGGAAGATTTTCTCAACTATAAATAGTGGTGGTCTTCATTTGGTTTGGAGTACACACAAGGAAATATCAAGTGCATAAAAGTTAGGGAATATTATATAAAATAGCAAACTATTAATTCAAATTAAATGTTATAACCACAGTTTGATTTAATTGTAACCCATAGCAAATTGTTGCCATCCGCCTCTCTCCCTGAAATTCTCGCTCGCCACTCTCGTTCTCTCGTTGGCAGTCTCTCCCTCGCTTCTCTCACTTTTATACAAACACAAATGTATAAAATGCGTTTGTGTTTGTATAAAGTGAGAGAAAACTGTATATATACATATATTTTTGTTCGCCTCTCTCCCCAGAGAATCTCGCTCGCCTCTCTCACTTTATAGAAACACAAATGTATAAATTGTGTTTGTGTTTGTAGAAAGCGAGAGAAAATTGTATATACAAATACAAATACATATATTTTCGTCCTATACACTTATAATTATACATATACAAATCTTTCTCTGTTCAGTTTTCTTTTGTATTTCTCTCTTTCTCGCTTTATACAAACACAGATTATACAATTGATTCTTTTGTATATGTATACCGAAACAGATTATACAACTGATTCTTTTTGTATATGTATACCGAAATATACATATTAATTGCCATAGAAAACATAAAGTTTGCTATGGAGCGCAATTATACAAACTATACATATAGCATACAAATATGATTTTTTATGTTTGCTAAACCTAAAATTTAATCTAAAAGTTAGTCAAAAAAGAAAGTTCTTACTAGTTGAAGGGATGTGTTCTTTTTGTGGAGTTTTGGACTCAACTTTTGTCTAGAGTTTGTTGAGTTATACTTTGTGATTAGGTTGTAGTCTCCTGGAGGGGACAAGTCATGAGGACTACTGCTGGACCGGTGAAAATATTTGCTACAGTGGGCTTCTCCTTAAAGAGAAGAAATGTCCGCATCTCAGCTTGAAGATATTTTATGGAAAAATCACACCATATACACATTTAAGAGACAATATTATGGGTTTTAAACCTACTCTTAAAAAATTCTTACTTATAACAGTTTTATTACGGGTTATAACATATCAATTCAATTTAACTTTATTTAAAAATCAATTAAATTTTACGTTATTAAATGATTAATCTTTTTATAATTTTATATTATTAATAATTTTATTATTTAGATTGCAGTTCCTTTTTTAAAATTAGTAATTATCAATGACCATTCCAAGTTTTCAGTTGCATGCAAAAACTCCCAATCACGTTAATCCCCCCCCCCCACGCCTATCCAATCAACATGCCACCACCCCACTACCCCCACCTTCAGAAATCAAAAGTTCATCTCCCTCATCTCTCTCAAAACATACTCAGGGTCGTTTCTCATATTCTTCACGACGAAGAAATCTGTTCTAACTCCTCGAAAGACTCCTCGACTAGTTGAAGCAACTTCTATGGATGAAGTACATGCTCCAACATTCAACATATTGACTCAAACCCCACCGTCAAAAAATAATGAAATTTCGGCAAAGGGTGGTTCTTCTCAGTTGAAGATTAGTCAAGCAAAGAAAACAGTAAGTCCTGCAAATCAAAAGGAAAAAAAAGAGGAAGGAGAAAATTGTAGAAGTGACCCATTCTGATTAGGATTCGAATTTCGTAAGTGAGATAAAAAAGAAAATAAAAGCAACAAATGTCGAAATTGGTCAGTCTTCAAAACCATCAAGAAGAAGAACAACAAGGAAGGAGGACTCAGAAATCCCAATTTCAAAAAAGGCAAAAAAGTAGTTAGGATATGTATTATATTTAATTTATTTTCGAATTATTCAATTTAGTTTTTTTTTAAAAATATTATATTATGATTATTGTTGGTACGAAACTTATATTGGTGTGAAACTTGCATGAACTGTGAATAATATTTGTATGAATCTGACATTAATATATGATATATGAATATTGTATGAAATGTGATTTAATATTGGTATGCAACTGGTATGAAATGTGTTTTGACATTGATATGAAATTGGTTTGATATCAGTTGCCCAATTAGTTGATTTTAGTGTCGTTTGTTAAATGCCACAGTGCACATGAATCTGGTATGATTTTTGAATAATATTGGTGTGAATTTTTTTTCAATATATGGTATGTTGTATTACTAAAATTTATGTATATGAATGTAGAATGAAACATCAATAATATTGGTATGAACTAAATTTTATATATGGTTTATGAATGTTGATATGAAATTGATTTAATTTTTGTATAAATTCTGTGATATAATTAATTGATAACTACTTATAAACGGAAGTTGGTGTTGAAATGAAACATGAATAATGTTGGTATTGACAATTTTATTTTATAGGCAAGGAAGACATACACACTGGTCTTCATACACAAACATGAATGATTTTGGTGATCTGTTGACTTTCCTCGGGGAAGAGATGTTTCAGCAATTTTTAAAACAAACACCATTTGGTGTATTTTATGAGCTACCCCACATAAAGATTCAATGTCAGTTATTGCGCCATTTGTTATTTCTTGAAACTGAAAACGTTAGAGACGACATGTTCATTGTTAAAATAAATGATACAATACTACATTTTGGAATTAAGGAATTCGCAGCAGTAACTGGTCTCAAATGTGGGCTCCTTACCAACTTTGTTTCAGATCCTTTTATTCCAAATAGACTTATCCAAAAGTATTTTGGTGAAATGACCAAAGACCCTAAGTTAGACTTCTTGAATAAGTTTAAAGAAGCTAACTTCTTTGAGCCCGAAGACCATTTTAAAATTGGTGTTCTGTACTTCATTAGTACATTTCTGACTGATTTTGAGGCCTCCAAAATAACCATACCAAAATTGTACTTTGATTTGGTTGAGTCCGGTCAGTATGTCAACTTCCCATGGGGTAATGAATGTTTCAGTTTGACTATTAAAGATTGCAGTCGTAGGTTGGGAAATAATCCTACATCATTCAAATTTACCCAATTCCACTTAGCCTTGCAAATTTGATTTTATGAGTGTTGTCATCCATTTGACAACACAGTTGCTATTCGTGTTGCAAATGGCACACCTCGTATTCTCAAGTGGAAGACATCGAATGAAAGTATTTCTTTCGATGTCTTAAAGAATACAATTTTCAGAACATATGGCAACCAGGTCATATTTTATTTATTGTCCTTTAATAATTATCATTTATTACCTTTTGTTTATAATTTTTTATTCTCCCATCTTATTTTGTTACTACAGCATAAATTTAAAAACATGGTGCTTAATGATGAAGAGATGAATACCATTGAACAGAACAATTTACATGAATATTCTAGTCACCACGAGACATAAAATCAAGCAACATCAGAAAGGAATGATGTTGACTTCGATGAAAAGTATGTTGAGTTCAAAAATAAAAATTGCAGAGGTTAGTACACAACAAAAAATTATCATTTAATATATTTTTTACATATTACAAGGAATTTATTCACTCTTTAATGTTTAATAACAAGTTCGGCAAGAGTTGAAAGAACTGAAGGATAATGTTATTTTCTCAATCCCTTTTCAATTACTTAATATTACATCTTATTCTGTAATCTTTTAATGTTTAACATATATGTTTATATCTGTTGACAAGGTTGACAAGCACATGACCGAATTGAAAGCATATGTCGATAATTCGACAAAGTTGATAATCGATGAGATTAGGTCTTCAAGAGGTCAACCAACACAAACATCACACCAAGAGGTATTAAATGGTATTGAAGGGTTTGAGAAAGTTAAGAACTGATCAATTGTTGTATCTATATTTTTGGTTTGAAA